GAAATGATTTGTTGGCAAATTTTCAAAATATTGTCGCTTCACTCTACTATTGTTGCATGGAGATTGTAGAAGCATGAATTTGGTGCCATTAAATAAATAACCATAATTAAATATTTTTATAAATATTTTAAGTTCACTAAGCAACATAAGAAAAAAAACTTAATTAACTAGGTCAACTTTAATTAAAACTCATAAAACTATTGATGCCTAGTAATAAGCATATATGTTTAGTTTGTTAGCATTAAACATATAATTAACTAGGCACAATTAAAATTGGATTATAGTTCAACTCAATAACTTATAAAAAAACTTGAATAAGTTATAAAACTCATTATTGTCTAAGCTTGGCTCGAACTCGATAAAAAAAGAATGAGGTTAAACAAGATGGTGTTCGACTTGACACGACTTATTTATAACCCTATCGATGGATTATATGAAAGTTCAAGATGAAATATGACCTCATTTTCAATGGAGCCCTAGGCCTCACTCTCATGCTATACTCACAGTATAGCCTATCCTATTTGCTGCTTCTCTTGCCTATCTCCTATAACCAATGCCTCATGACATGGTATCCCACTTCTCCTACTTTTTCACTCAAGATGAGCTTTTGCTCTTAGTACTTTTGGCTCCTAGAGTTGGCCTCTTTTTGCCACCTTTTGCGCACTATGAGCTTTTGTTCTTCTTCTCCCACTCATCGGTGTGCCTCATTCTCTTCTTTTGATTATGATTGGGGTCTTATTTGTCACTCTACGTTCCAATTTGGCTCCTGCTCACTCCCCCATTACCCTATTTTCAGTTTCCCGCATAATCCGACCTCACACGCAAGCTACTCTTAGGTTTTTGGATGAACCTCCTCCTATCCCTTTCACTCATCCCCTTGCTTCCTCCCCTTCAGCAACTTCATATCCAATTGCCCAACCTCTTAGTTCCTTTAATAATGGTATATGTGGCTTGGATTCTTCAAGTTTACAATCCTCTCTGTCAACCCACTTTTCATTATTCTTTCACCAAAATATTGCAATTCTACAACAAAAACAACCATTCGCTTACAAAGTCAAACTTGTTCTATTCTATTATAATAATAAAAAGAAATCGCATTTCCGAATTTTCATCTTTCTCTCAAAAATTTAGAAATTTTCTTTGGGCCATCCCAATTTGAAGATAATTCATAACTTCATTTGACGGGTGACTTCTTGATGAAGTTCATTGAGTTTTAATATATCATTATAACACTTTCATTAGAAGGAAACTACACCGGATTTTTTCTCAACAATCATATTATATAAGTGCTATTCCAATGCATATACTAAGATGGTTACCACATTTTGACTCCTCTAAGAAACCACCCATCACTCGTATGTAGATTCCATTCCTATGGCATTGTATAGATTATTTCAATCAATCCACTTTATACTCTTTGGGTTCAATAATTGAAAAACCATTGCAAGTAAACATTACCACTACATACTTTTCTAGGCATTCTAAGGGTGGAGATTTCCTAGAATTGGATATTACACCTCAGTTTAAATAGTGGATTGGTTCCTCATTTTGTAGGCACTAGAAGAGGGATGAATTTAAAAGCATACCCACTTATTGCCCTTCATGTAAGATTTCTAGGCATAATTCTAAGATTGTTTAAAATGCCCATCCACGGCCTAAAAGTTCTAAATATTTGGTGCAAGAGCTAGAACCAAACGCTCAGCCCTTCTAATAGTTGATGGATAAACCTCTTTCAACAGATTAGGAATGCACTCAAAATTCAAAACCAAATTAATTTTCCCTTCAAATCTAGAGATTTTTGCCCCTACAAGCCCCATGGATTTGGTCGCTTTGTCACTCACTAATGATATCAACGAAACTAAACCAACAATTCCTCGTACATCTTAGCTCCCACCAATTTGTGAACAAAATGATGAGAATATGCCGAGACATCTTTCAAATTAGATAAAAATATAGTTTCAATTCTCTAGTGGATACAAGGTTTCATATGTTAATAACCAGAAGGAGGATGAAAAAAGAAAAATATATATATCCACTGTTGTATTCACAAGGTTACAAGTAATATGGCCCATACAGGTTTTTACTTATTTCCACGGTGCTTGAGGTACTTCACCATTTGTCCTCAAAATTATTCCTTTAAGGGTTATCGTAATTTTTTCTTTGGAAATTCTTATTAATTGACATTGGAAGACACATGTGATAAAAAATTTATAATGTTTTACTTCACTAGAAAATAATAATATTTGTCCGACATTCGTCAATTTGTAATAAAGCGTTAAATTAATAGAAATATTTGCCATGAAAAACTTCTCTCTCTCTCTCTCTCTCTCTCTCTCTCTCACCCTCTCCAAAATTCCATTCATGTTCTTCTTCATCCTAACTGATGACAAAGTATAACATAATTTGGATCTCAACAATTGGTATACAATCTTCTTGATTTGGACCTTCATCATTTGCAAAAGACAATCATGCATTTAAGGCAATGATTGCCACACTGCATGGCACAAGATGCTCTTGCTCATTTTATTGAGAAAAAAAATGGGGTGGAACCACATCATCATAAGCTGGCATCGACCGCTATGTTGAGATAGGGGGCACCCTTGCAACATGCCAAGCAAATCTTAAGCTCATGACTTCAAAATTAAGATTAAATTCTAACAATAATTTTTCAACACTAATTGTCAACGAGACATGAGCATATTGCATATTTGAATGGATTTGGAGATTCTAAAATAGAGTTTTAAAAAAAGAGATATCTTTCCCAAATTCAACAGCTTGATACAATGGGCAAAAACTCAATTTGGTGATCATAAATAAAATTGGCTAGATAAGTACAAGAAGACATAGGCCACAAAAAAATGATCTTAAAGGAATTTTAAGAAAGTCCCAAAGCTATAAAGAATGGAGAGTACAACATATTTTGCTGAAGAAGAATGTGGCAAACTTGAGGCAAATCCATGGTATAAAAGTTATGCATATTTGAATGAATGACCATATCATCATAGACTGCCACGCCCACTACATTGTGATGGTGAGCCTTAAGCGCATGAAAAATAATAATTTTAAATTCTAACAAGACTTTTGCATTACTGATTGCCAAACGAGAGATGAGCATTACATATGTGAATACAATTTTGAGATTTAGAATCTATTAGTATAAAGTTCAAAACATAGATACATCTTTTCTAAATTCAACAATGTAACACAAAAGGGGGAATAATCAATTCATCAACGACATATAAAATTGGAGTGATAAGTTCAAGAGGATATAAGCTGCCAAGAGAGAGGTTTTTAAATAGTATTAACAGGGGCAGAACGAGCCTCTTTTTTCAGGGGCAATTATCATTGATAAATTAAATAATATTACAATCATTTCAATCTATTTTGTATATTTTTATAATACGAATATATATAATAATTAAATAAATGTATGCAAAATAATTAATAACAAATACAAAAAAAATTAATACAAATATACATTAGGAGCATACAAAAATGAATTTTTCTTTTTTAAATATAGGGGCATTTACATACATACCGCATTTACATACATACCACACAATTTACATACATACCACACAATTCTTATGTATATATATATCTAACATATAAACTTCACTTTCTACATTTATACCATCCAAAATGTTCATATCATATCAAAAGTACTATTATATTAATTTGTGTGATATCACTATTTTAATTTTCAAAAAGTGAAATACATTTGTTTATGCATAGTTAAGGTGGTATTTATGTAAACTTTGAAATTTGAGTGTTAGATATATACATAGATAGGAATTGAATGGTATGTGTGTAAATTTCACAATAATATCACATTCCAGGTTCCAACCACAAAAGTGCCTTGTGAAATTTAGTCCCACAATGATTTGGAAACAGAATTTTTTGTAGTTTAATTAAAGAAAAGTCTGCATGTGGTCATCATCAAAACGCGCTTGTGTTTACCCTGGTGGAAAACTGTTATACTAGCTTTAAAGAAAAAGTTGAATCTTCTTAAAAAAAATTATGCTTGGTCAGTAAGTTTAACGTGTCTATATGCTTGATTACGGTCTCAAAGGTTTATTAAGCTTAGATTCTTTTAAATTCAGTATTCAATAAATTAAAAAGTTAAAAGAGCTATAGAACGATAAATTAAAGGCTTTAATCGACATGGGCTCTGTTTGTTACACCTCAGTCGAGGCATTAGTATAATGAGAGGGGACAAATTGGGGCAATTAATATAATTTAGAGGGGACAAATATGATTAAATTGTATATTTCATTAATAAATTTTCAAATTTCAGAGGGGGCAATTTTCCCCCCTCAAATATATGTAGGTCCGCCTCTGAATATTAAGAAAGTACCAAAAACATAAAGGAAGGTACAACATGTTTACAAAGTTTTTGCATGTGCTTCACACAATTGCCATAAAATTATATCAATAATAGAAATTGTTAATAGATGTTGACATCTATCATAAAATGTAGTGCTAAGAGAATTTCAGTCCTTTGTCACAGCGATATCCTTAAAAAAATTTCTTAAATGACATTTCAATCCTACTTGAATGACATAATAACTTTCAAATCTACTAACATCTACACATCAGGCTATCATCCTTGCTCAGAAGCCAATGTCATTCCAAATCTTATGGAATATCTCCGAGGCAAAGTAGACATGGCTTCGAGTGGCTAGCTACATTCCACCACCTTAAATTGACGTGCTGAGTTCAGAATCCAAATCTCACCCCCCAAAAAATTATATGTGAGGCTATCTAGGAGCAAAAATAAATGACAAACTAAAAGATGATGCTAGCAGCAATTCTAAATAGCATTAGATTGAAACATGGCATTAAAACGAACACAAAGAAACAGTTAGATAGCAAAATTAACCTATATATATATTGTTATATAAATAATATAAAAGCATCTTAGAATCCAATTGATGCTTAGAGTTAATGTGGCAAATTATCATCTCCTATCTTAGTAGATAAAGGTTGATAGCTCATACCTGCTTAAATCTCTCTTTATTGACTTGTTCCTGCAGTTCATCCAAAATGTCAGTTAAGAATTGAAACTTAAATTGGGAAATGACAGTTAAGCATCAAGAATGTTTAGCCTCTATAATTTCCCCAAAAATTTTACCCATTCAAAATTTTATACTTGGTCAATGAAATCAGAATATTTTCAAGTACAAGACTCATACGAAACCAATATTTTCAATACCATTAGACAAAAGTCATTTCATATCCAGATTTTAGGCCATCAATTCTTGGGAAAGAAAGCTCCAACAGAAAATTTTTTTTTTTTTGCAATGCAATTACATGAAAAACGTTTTAACAAAGATAAAATCTTCGAAAACCTGCGGCAAATAGTTTTCAAATCCAGGGATGAGAAAATCAGCTTCGCAACTTAAAATAAGCTCGAGAAAAAGAAAATAAGGAAAAAAGATGCATTTTTTCTTTCATTAGCATAAATTACCGACTAATTCAAAGTTTAATAAAATGCGATAACGGAAGTGCAATTTACCAGCTCAATATGCAGCTGAGCATTCTCCTGCTCCAGCTGATGGACTAAAGATTCCAGCTCCGCTGTATAAGCCTAAAACAGCACACGAAGCACAAACGTCAAACTCTGAATTCAGTACATTAGAGCGTGATCACTATTTTCTCTTTAAGATGGCAGACAGATATTGACGGGAAAGCGAATAAAGCCAGGACCTGCTTTCTCTCTCTAGACCTGGCTGCAGACTCCCTGTTTTTTATCATCCGCTTCTGCCTTTGCAATGTAATCCGATCCTCCGGATCAAGCAGATGCCGCCTCCTACCTCTCCCTCCCCCTATAGAAACAACCTCCGTCCCGTTCCCGAACACCCGAACCGGATTTTCGATGGTCAGTGGTTGCTGCACAAATTGGTCAGACGCAGCCTGACCCGCCGAGTGAACTCCCGACGAAACCCTAACCTCCTCTTCAATCACAGCCCCTGCCCTAGCCAGGAAATCCTCCAAAGTCATCTCCCCAGCATCCTTGCTCTCTGATTCGCTCAAAAAGGCATCCACTTCGCCGCCGCCTTCCGCTTGCCTTCCTACAGTGATCTCTCTCCACACATCCTCAGCTGTCATGACCCCCCCACTCTTCATGGAAGGCGTCTCCACGCAGCCGGCATATGGTGAAACTGGCGGCACGTTATCTCCATACATATTTCGAATGAGATCATCCATAACCATGGAGCCAAGACTCTTTGGGGGATCGCCATCGCTTGTGGAATTCTGAAGCTCCGCTGATGGCTTCGGGTAGAGAGAAGACTGACGCGAGATATTAGATTTCCCGGATGATGAGGTCGCGATCACTCTCGATGAAGCCATATTCCAGAAATATACAGTTAGGGTTTTTAATTCGTTGCCATTGTTTTGGTGAGTATGCTTATCCAAACTCCCCCATCCTTGGTCAGTTCTCCCTAAATGCGGCGCTGCCGCCCGCGTGGTCGAAACTGCGGCGAAGACTAAGCACTGTTCAGTTTCATGCGATATCAGGGGAAGGCACTAATTAGGTTTTAAGAAAGGGGAGACTCAATTCGTTAATCCGATTGAAAGGATGGACTTCAAACACTAGAAGCAATATTTTTTTACTAAAAGGCAGTTTTTGTATTCCCCATGAAGAAGTTAGAGATTTTGAATAAAATAAAGTCCTGATTTTTATGGGAAAATGACTTTCTCGATCCAACAGTTATGGTGGATCAAATATAATTAAAATAAAGTTTCATAACTTTAGAGATAAGTATTTTTGTGGGCATTGCATCAAGGATTTTGGCGTCGACTTGAATCACCGCGCAGTACGAAGTCTAAATACTGGTCTTCACGGAAATGCCAACTTGAAGCTTCGATGGGTTCCCTTAATCACGAGAGACTTCATATGAATATGTGATAGTCTCTAAATAGGGTTGTAAACGAGCCGAGCTTGAGCGAGCTCAGGCTAAGCTCGTGTTCGGCTCGTTCAAAATAGCTCGTGTTCGGCTCGTTCGAAATAGCTCGTGTTCGAAATCGGCTCGTATTCGAAATAGACTCGTGAATAGTGTGTTCGTGTTCGGCTCGATTTAAATATTCGTGTTCGATGTTCGGCTCGAAATTGCTCGAAATTGGCTCGTTAAACTAAAATTGAGAAAAATAGATGTAAAGTGTGAGATTCGAACCTGGATCAAATCTATAGAAAAGAAGACACTAACCACATTGCCACGGTGTTATGATTTAAGCTTAGACATAAATATGTACAATATATTATTATATAAATAATATATGTAATATATTGTTATATAAAAAGTTATATAATTTTTTTTTTCGAAGCCATTTCGAGTCGAACACAAGCGAACAAACTGTTGTTCGTGTTCGGCTCGTTTACATTTCGAGCTTAAAAATTTGTTCGTGTTCGGCTCGTTAGGCTTAACGAACGAGCCGAACGCGAGCTGTTCACGAACAACGAGCCAAATTGACAGCCCTATCTCTAAACACCAAAATGGACATCAAGCATGTATCATATTGTCAATGATGTCATCCAGTGGTGGATTCTCCCGGGTAAGGCTGAATCATCACAGTCTCTGATTTTGTGCCCCCCAAACACGCTCCAAAGGGGGGTGGGGACTAGATGAATGTCTTGAGCTATGGGATACTATAAGTGAATAGGAAACAGTCACAAGTCATTCAAGTAGACATCCTACATGTATGACATCCAAAATTGATGCAACCAATGAACATGATATAATATCGATCTTGGGTTTGATTGTACTTAGTACTCCAATGGATTTGCGAGACAAGTATTACTTGAGGCCCTTCACAGAGATATCTCTGTTATGTCCTTTATTTTTTGGCTTTAAAATTTTTTTTGCATTTTTATAGTAATGTAATAATTTAAAAATAATATAATTTTGCAACATGACTTCATTGTGGAGACCAAGGTTTTTTTTAGGCCTTTTTTGGCACTAGTGAAGGTAGTCCAAGGAAGATTGCAATTGATAGGATGGAGGAGCTATGCAACCTAATGCAATAATCAACATATTTATCAGATACGCACCAATAGATGATGCTTCAGTTGAGGATGCACGAGTTCACCCACTGACACAATATGCCAACTCTAGACCATCCACCTAAGTTCCTCTTGGTTCTACGATCTATCCAAAACTACCATCTTAGACTTATCAAAGCCTATTGTCTTATTACTTGCAGTGGAGAGTATCGTTGGGAGGGATCACGGGCATTCACTTTGCACTTCTTTAGCCTTTTTTGGAGCATGATATTTTACAATTCAACACCATGGGTACTTTTAGATACTCATTGCCATGCTAATTTCCCAACAACAACTATAATGGGAGCACCATGTCTATTATGTAACAGAGTAGCAACAATTCACATCATATCATGTCCAATTGTCCATTATCACAGAGAAGGAGGATGCGCTTGAGCCTTTAAAGGAGCAGCAACACCATACGAGGGATCAACCATGACATCCTTCACATTAAGACACTCCAAATAGTGGATTCATTATGCTCATATAGCTCTGTAGGCGGTAACAATTGATATAGAGATTATATTACATTTTTTTTCTTTGACTTTTGTGATGAATTGCAATAGATTTTATTTTTATTACATACATCTTTTTATCTTCATACTATTTCTCATTTAGAAGATGTTAGTACACATCACCTTTTTATGTAGATCAAGAATAATAAGAGTAAGGAAGGTAAAAGTTCTTTCAGAAATATATCTGAAAGAACATTGTACAATGTTATGCTCATTTGCATGCATGAATATAATCCAGCGAATCTATTGATTTTTTTGATGACATGGGCATAAGCTAGAATAACATTTTGTGGTTTTAAAGTAAATTATGTGTATATGAGATTAACGTGTATTTATGTGTTGGCATCTAATAAATGATAAAATTCTTAGTTCACGCACACATTTATAATTTAAGCTTATATGTTCAACAGAACTTAAAAAATGTAAATAATCTCTATAGTCATAGAAAGTTAGATAAGTAAAATAATCTCTTTTTAAAAAAAATTTTTCCATTAAAGTGCTGACTTCCTTTATATATATATATATATATATATATATTGATGTCATATTAGGTGCACCCAAAAAGGTGATAGGAGAGAAATAAATGCATGAAATAAATATTATGACTTTTTTCTTAAATGTATGTAAATATATGATAAGAAGTACCATATGCCTTAAATATTTGAAAATTCTAAGAAAAATGAATAAAATGAATGAATACCAAACCTTTAATGAAAAATTTACAGAAAAATGCCTTAAATGTAAGACTAATTTTTATTGATATGCTAAGATATACCTAACATTAACTTTAAAACGATGCTTCCAATGTTTGAGGCTCAATAATACTCCATAATATTGGACACACATTTACTTAATATGCAAATATATATATATGTGTGTGTGTGTGTGTGTGTGTGTGTGTGTGTTATTATATTGAGTAATCTTCATATGATGTTGTTACATGTAAACAATAGGTAGTAAACCTAAGAATCACTCAACACAATTTCCCAAATATATCCCTAATGCTAAGTAGAAACATCATGTGAATGGGTTTTATTCCCTCAAAGCACTACATTCTTGTTGTGCAAACACATGAGATGTACCAAATGTATATGTCAATAAAATGCAAACATTATGTTGCAAATAATATGAAATAAGGAAAATGAGTAATTGTGTTAACATAAAAATGACCACAAAGATATGCAAATACCATAGCCCATATGAATTTGGGCGATGCGTGCATAACATAGACTCACAAACCAACACACAAGCACTTGTAAGGCCAATATGCCAGCTTATCAACCATATATATTAAAAGCACATATTAAAGCATTACCCATTCAATGGCAAAATCTCAAGTGTAAACCTAACAAATCTCTATCGAGGTTGTTTTCAAGATGAAGGAACATATGTAATCTTTGTGTTTCATCTCAACATATTGGTTATAATATAAATCAATCATTGATGAATCCTATGATCATGAAAGTTTTTCAAAGGAAAATCTATGAGAAAGAAAATATTTTTTTTTTCAAATTCTACACCTTCATAAATACAAACTCTTATCAAACCTAGTAGATAAGACTAAGTAATCAAATGAATGGGGTTTAATAGCATGACCACAAAGCTGAAATACTGAGATATTAACCAAAAGGGAAAATGAAAGTAGGGTTTGAAATACTCAAGGAAATTTAAGAGGGATATAGGATAAGCTTCCTCTAACATCAACTTATGTTTTTAACATCACCTTATGTGGCCCTAAGAAATGAGAAAATGGGAAACATAATCACACCACTACAGGCTTGAAGTCAAATTATGTCTCACAAAGCTGCTCCTGGCATGAAACAAGAGTTTAAAGGCTCATAAGGGCCCTCCTTCATAAGGTCTCACCTAGGCTTTAAGAACAAGGAAAAAGAAAAAAAGAAACTCTCTTCAAAAGCTCCCTCCCTCTCTCTCTCTCTCTCTCTCTCTCTCTCTCTCTCTCTCTCTCTCTCTCTCTCTCTCTCCCCAAGAAGATGACACTTCAACTAGAATAAGAAGAGGAAGAGGAAGAAGAAGAGAAGGGAAAAGGCTCTCATTTTTTCTAGAATTTTTCTCTCCAATATATTCCATAAAATCCCACCACTTTCTCGAGCATAATCCAAAAGCTCTCTAAGAAAGTATCCAAAATCCCTCTCAAACTCCAGAAAAAAAAAATCTCCTTAAAACCTCTCAAAATGGTACTTTATCATCTCTCGTTGGCTTTGCCTTGAAAGCCATATCGTTCTCCACTTATATAAGACTTTTCTCCCTATGCCTATAATCAAAATTCGGTTGGGCAGTGGGAGGGAATGTTTGAATCTACTGGCAAATACGGTAGCAACGTTGCAACACTGCCCAAATTTGTGAGCAAAAGTCGATGCGCGGTCTAGAGCACAACGACGTTGGGTCTGGTCCCATGACATTGTGTCTGCTGCTACAACACAAGGCAGGGTGCCTTTGGCATCTAAGATGCATAATGTTGTCTTTTCGTGTCAGTCAGCCAAATAGAGCTACATATGGACATCTCAAGCTATGGATAATTCTATTAATATGAAATATGATCTCAAAAGATTTAAATGAAGATTTGCATCAAAGATGATGCTAACATAGTTAAAATTAAAACCTAACTTTGTAATTGTGTTACTCATCTCTAATCTAGCTAATTAGTTAAGGCCTTTATTCTTAAAAAAAAAAATACATACAAAGTAAATGAACAATCACAACTATTAAAAATAGGAAGACTTACCTATAAACTACACAGTCCTATATATTTACACATTAATCACATAAACTTTGATTTTTATATTTATAGTATTTTATATTACATGAAAATATGTAAATTTAATTTTGTTAGAGTGAGTTAGAAATAGCGATGCTTTTGTTGTGATATGAAAGATTTGAGTATTGTAAATGTAAAAATAAAAATTTAAGCGTTAGAAATGTAAATATATTGGAATTGTATGCTATGTATTTAAATACCCCAACCCAATTTAGACTAATGAAATTGACATTACATTTTGACCACACTTAAAAACTGAATTTAAAACCTTCTTA